TGTTTCTGTTGCTGCTGCTGGTGGCGGGGGACTCTCGAGTCTTAGCAGCTTCCTTTTGTCCCCTGTGTCTTCTCGCTGGTCTGCTGCTGCTGCTGCTGCTGCTGCTGCTCTTGTGGCGGCGGCGGGGGGTTCTCGGCGTGCAGCAGCAGCAGCTGCTCCTGCTGTTCTGGGAACCGCTGCTTTTGCTGCGGTGCGATTGCAGCAGCAGCAGCAGCAGCAGCAGCAGCAATTAGAACCTGCGGTGCAAGAGCAAAGAAAGGGAAAGAGCCCATAAAGCAGCAGCGCAGCAGTGCAGCAAGAAGAGCAGCAGCAACAGAAACAGCAAAAGCACCGAAAGAAGCAGAAGCAGCAGCAACGGGTGCAGCAGCAAACAGCAGCAGCAGCTGGCTTTTCTGTGGCCGTTGCTGCTGCTGCAGCTGCTGCTGCAGCTGCTGTTGCTGCCACTGCACCAGGCGCAGCAATGGGCGTAGCAGCAAACAGCAGCAGCAGCTGCTGCAGCTAACAGCAGCAGCTGCTGATGCAAGGACTGTTGCTGCCAGTGCACCAGACGCAGGCACGGGCGCAGCAGCAAACAGCAGCAGCAGCTGCTGCTGCTCACCTGGGGGGCCTCCTAAGTTAGGGCTCGCGTCTGTGGCCTCCAGCAGCAACTCAAACCTGCCTGTGGGCCCCGGCAGCAGCTCAGCTAGTGCTGCTTCAAGGGCGCTGTGCAGCAGCCCCCCAGGCTGCTGCTGCTGCTGCAGCTGGCGGCAGCAGCAGCAGAGCTGCAGCAGATCCTTGGCCGTCAAGAAGCAGCCCAAGTGCTGCAGCACTGCTGCAGAGTCCCACAGAAACTCAGAGGGGTGGGCGGGGGCCCCCAACACCCTGTCAGTGGCTATAGGGGCCCCAGGGGCCCCCGAACTGCAGAACTGGGGAAAAGAGGGGCCCCCCATGGCGAGGCCCTGGTCTGGCGCTGCAGCCCGGGGGGCCCCCCCCACGGGACCCATGGGGGCCCCTGCTGCGCTTGTGACTGGCGGAGTTGCTGCAGCTGTCAGCAAGGGGGGACTTAGCTCGTTAGGAGCTGCTGCATTGAGCGGAGTTGCTGCAGCTGTCAGCAAGGGGGGACTTAGCTCGTTAGGAGCTGCTGCATTGCTTCGGCTTTTTTTTCTTCCTTTAAAGGACTTCCAGAACTCCTGGGCTGTCTAATTTCAGGTGTATATACACTGCAGCGCAGCTGCTGGGGCCCCTCACCTAAATGGCCACACAGCACTTAGGGGCCCCCAGCTCACAGCTAAGGCAGTGTGTGCATGCACTTTGGGTCTCGGCATTAAGGTGCTATTAAGCTCAGAGGGCTCGTGGGGCCCCCAACGGGCCCCTGGGGGCCCCTTGGGGGCCCCCGAGGGGCCCCTAGGGGGCCCCAACGGACCGCACTACCTTCTGGAGGCATTGAATGCTTTCAGCAAAGCAAAGGTGTCATCAATATTGGAAAATAAATATTTTAAAATAATAACATGGTGTTTTTAATCTAGGTTAAGCCTTTTTCTTTTTCTAAAGTTATTGGGGTCACCCTTAGCTTGCGCCCTGGAGAGGATGTCCGACGATCCCGACGACACACGTCCGAAATCCATGCCTGTCGCCGGAGTCGTCGTCGTTGTCGTCGTCGTGGGGTTCGTCGTTGCACCGTCGTCGTCGTCTTCCCGTGAAACGTCCAACATCGCTGCAGCAGCAGGCGCAGCACGCCTAGCAGCACCAACAGAATCAGCGGCAGCCGCAGTATGCCTAGCAGCAGCAGGGCAGCAGCAACAGAATCAGCAGCAGCTGCAGTTTCTTCCACCCGCATCCCTCCAAAGCCGTTGCCATGGCAGCAGCAGCAGGTAGTAGTAGCAGTAGTAGCAGCTGCTGCAGCAGCAGCAGCAGCAGCAGCAGCAGCGGAGAGGCCTGATCTACGGAAGCTGATCCAAACAGTTAATTCTTAACTCAGGGCTTTGTTGTACAAAGAGACAAAAACGAAGACGGCGGGAGCCGCAAAGCAGCGCCGCAGCAGCAGCTGCTGCAGCAGCTGCTGCAGCAGCAGCAGCAAAGCACAAAAAACCGAAGCAGCAAGGCCAACAGGCAACTTTCCCGCTGCTCTAATGCTGAGAAAAATCCCCTGGGGGCAGGTAATTCTCCGAAAAGACAAAACAGTCGATTTCGTGCTGCTGCCTCCGCATCCACCAGCGACCAATGGTCCACTGGACCAGGTCTTTCTGCAGCAGCACCACGCCCACACGCGCGCCGCAGCAGCAAACCCTAAACCCTAAACCCTAAACCCTAAACCCTGGAGCTTCCGCCGCGACGGCGGAGGCCTATGCCGTAAAGGCCACCTGCCTTGGGGCCCTGCACAGCCCAGCTAGCCATGGCTTAACTGCTACGCTCTAGAGACGCCCCAGCTAGCCATGGCTAGCTGGCAGGCTTTGCTGCTTGAGAGTTGAGGGACGCGAGCTGACCTTGTATGTAGCTAGCTAGCTAGCCAGCTGACTAGCTAGCTAGCCAGCTGACTAGCTAGCTAGCTAGCTGCCTACCTACCTACCTAGTCTGCTGGCTAACCACTGACCTAGCTAGGTACTTATCTAGCTAGCCGCGCAGCTAGCCAGCTAGATAGATAGCTACGTGGCTAGCTAGCTAGCTGGCTAGCCACTGAGCTAGCTAGCTGGGACAGGCTTACTTCCAGCTTGAGAATTTCTTGGGGCGTGAGGTGGTTCCATCCTGATGAAGCACCCAGAAAAGAGGCGCAGGACTGCAGCACGGCTGCAGCTAGCTGAGCAGCTAGCCAGCTAGCCAGTTAGCTAGCTGCCATGGCTCAGCTACAAATCTAACTAGCCAGTTAGCGAGCCAGCTAGCTCGCAGCTGTGGCTCAGCTATCCAGCTGCTGTGGCTGAGCTAGCCAGCTGGCTAGCTAGCAAGCTGCTGCGGCGCAGCTAGCCCGGCAGCAGCAGCAACAGCAGCAGCAGCAGCACTCACCCTCGGGAAAGAAAGCAGCATAAGGGGGATAGCCCTCGGGGGGGGTCATTCTGTAATCATAAAGCGAAACTCGAATTGCCATCGGCGGCGGCAGCTGCTTCAGCGCCTCCTGCAAACACCAACAGCGAGACCCCCGCAGCTAGCTAGCTAGCTCCCTAGCTAGCTGCCGAGCTAGCTAGCTGGCTAGCTAGCTGTCTATCTAGCTGCCCAGCCAGATAGCTCGCTCGCTAGCTGCCCAGCTAGCTAGCTGGCTAGCTAGATGGCTAGCTAGCTTGCTACCTAGCTGGCCAGCCTTCTCGCCAGCTGTCTGGCTAGCTGTCTGACTAGCTAGCTGACCAGCTACCTGTCTAGCTAGCTGTCTAGCCAGCTAGCTAGCTACGTGGTTATCTAGCTAGCTGCACAGCTAGCTGGCTGGGGCTGGTGCTGGGCAGCTCACCCCCTGGGGCCCCAGCAGCTGCAGCACTGCGGGCTCTCTGGCGCTGATTCGTTGAATTAAAGGCTGCCAAAAAGAAGGGTACAGCTGCATGGGACCTTCAGGGGAAAGAGGGGAGCCCCTGGTTTGGCAGCAGCCCTCCGCAGCAGCGGCGGAGGCCTGCAGCGGGGCCTGCTGCTGCTGCTGCTGCAGCTGCTGCTGCAGCAGGCGCTTCCCAGCAACCACCCCCTTCAGCGCTGCCTTCAGCCGCAGCGGCACAAACCACAGCCGCCAATCCAGGCGGGGGAAATGGCCCGAAAGCAGCCACGGCGGAGGGCTGTTCACATCGCCTGAAACGCAGCAGCAGCAGCAGCAGCAGGAATGGCAGCAGCATCAATAGCAGCAGTGGGAGCAGCAGCAACGGCAGCTGCAGCAGAAGCAACAGTTGCAAGAGCAGCAGCACGGTAAAAAGCAGTCGCAAAAAGCAAAATAGCGGCAACACAACGGCTTAAGCAGCAGCAACAGCAGGAGCAGCAGCAGCAGCAACAGCAGCAGACAGTCTTGCTGCTGCGTGCCTGGCTTATACGGCAGCGACACTTCGAGCCAAACGGGTTTTTCCTCCGTCGTCTGGTGCAGCTCTTCAAGGACCAGCTCCAGGCGACCAGTGGTCACCACGGCGAACAGCCCTGCGCAGCAGCAGCAGCAGCAGCAGCAGCAGCAGCAGCAGAGCGGGACTGGCAACTGCAGCTTGGAACGGCCAAGTAGACTGCAGCCAACCGTTTTACGTACACCCCAGAGAGCTGCCCTTACACTCCCGCATGCAAGCCTTTTTCTTCGTTTTTTTCTTTTTGCTGCTTTTGCTGCTGTTGCTGCTGATGTTGCTGCTGTGGCTGCTTTTGCTGCTTCCCACCGTAGCCGTTGCAGATGCAGAGAAGAGACATTTCCTTACAAAGTGCCAGGACCCAAGCGGGCGCAGACACCCCCGGCCGCATCCAAATCCTGCGACAGCAGCAGCAGCAGCAGCAGCGCAAGTTGCAGCAACAGGCCCTCATCTGGGCAGCGAGCAGCAGCAGCAGCAGCAGCAGCAGCAGCGAAACCTGCTGCAGCAATCTGCCATGTACACAGCCAGCAGCTGCATCAACCGCCAGTAGCAAGAATGGCTGCAGCGAGAGCCGACGGAGGCCACGGCGACAGCTGTTAGGAAGAGCAGCTGCAGCAGCAGCGCCTGCAGCTCCCAGTAGCAGTAGCACAAGCAGCAGCAGCAGCAGCAGCAGCAGCAGCAGCAGCACTATGCTCACTTGCAGAGGTGGTTCAGAGACCCTGCGGTGTAGATCTGCATACACCAACAGCCAAAAACTGACACACACGCACCTCAACTGCTGCTGCTGCTGTTGCCGTTGCTGCTGCTGCTGCTGTTGCCGTTGCTGCTGCTGCTGCTGCTGCCGCTGCTGCTGCTGCTGCTGCTGACCAGGAAGTAACCCCCAACAATGGTGCCGAGGACGACCCGGCCGGACATGAGGGCGCAGCGCTCTAGGAAAGTCTGGAGGCAGCAGCAGCAGCAGCAAACTGGGACAAATGAGCATATAAGTCAACAACTACCAAAAGAGAACAATTAAAATAATAATATAAATCTATGATAACAAGTGCTGAGACATACGAACAGGAGAGGAGCGGATAGCTCCAGCAACAGCAAAAACATCAAGCAGCAGCAGCAAAATAGCAGCAGAGGCAGCAGCAGCAGCAAAGAGAGCAGCAGCAGTCAAACGAACCCGAGCAAACGCTGCCTGTTTATCTTATTTCTCGGCTTCCAAAAATACCAGCAGCCGCAGCAGCAGCAGCAAAGATAACGGCGGCGCCGCAGCCGCAGCACGAACAGCAGCAGCAGCAGCAGCAGCAGCAGCAGCAGCAGCAGCAGGCTCACCCTGGAGGGCGCGAGAGGCGCAGCAACGCCCAGCAGTCTGTCGTCCAGCAGCGCCAAACAAAGAGCAGCAGTCAAGTGCGGCAAAAATCCCAAATTGCCGCTCAGCAGCACTGACAAAGCCAGCCCTGAGTGTTTCCGCCGCACAAACCCCACACGCCTCAGCAGCAGCAGCAGCAGCAGCAGCAGCAGTGCAGGAGCAGCAGCAGTGCAGGAGTAACAGTGCAGGAGCAGCAGCGCAGGAGCAGCAGCATCAGTGCAGCAGCAGGAGCAGCAGCAGTCTAGGAGCAGCAGCATCAGTGCAGCAGCAGGAGCAGCAGCAGTCTAGGAGCAGCAACAGTGAAGCAGCAGCAGCAGCAGTGAAGGAGCAGCAGCAGCAGTGAAGGAGCGGCAGCGCAGGAGCAGCAGCAGCAGCAACAGCAGCAGCCGCAGCAGCAGCAAGGCCGCTCTGGATGGCTTTACCAAAGATGGCGACAGCTGCTGCAACACGCAGCGGGGGAGTGGCAAAGATGCAGCAGGACATTACGCCCTGCAGCAGCAGCAGCAGTGCAGCAGCAGCAGATGTAGCAGCAGCAGCAGAGGACAGGCAGCCCCCCAGCATGAGACGGAATCGCAGCGGCAGCGACAGACAAGCAGCAGCAGCAGCAGCAGATTAACCCCAAATTCTAAACCCTAAACCCTAAACTCTAAACCCTAAACCCTAAACCCTAAACCCTACGGAGACGCAAAGGCCAAACGCTAACCTCAATAAAGAGGACGACAGCTGCTTGAAGCTTCTTGCCCTTCGACCAGTAGAAGAACCCTGCAGAAAAACCCTAAACCCTAAACCCTAAACCCTAAGCCCTAAACACTACATATCAATCCCAAACCCTAGACTCTGTCCGCCAAACCCTCGCAGCACTTGAAACAAATGGGCTGCAGCAGCAGCAACCGCCGTTGCCGTCGCTGCTGCTGCTGCTGCTGCCGCTGCTGCTGCTGCTGCTGCTGCTGCTGCTTACAAGAACCTGGGCAGGGGAGTGGCTGCGTCCAGTAGTGAAAGGAAAGAGCCGTCAGGTCCCTCCAGTGCGGGGCTGCTGCTGCTGCAGCCGCAGCACAGCAGCAGCAGCAGCAGCAGCAGCAGCAGCAGATAGGGCAACTTTAATGCCGAATTGATTAAGAGACAAGAAGCTGCAGAGCTTTCAAGTGCAGCAAAAGAGAAATAAAACTAAAAAAGACACAAATGCAGAAATAAATGTAGAAGACAAAAACAAGGTGATAAATGCAAAAATATACAGAAGACAGAAACATGAAAAAGAAAGAAAGATCAAAAGAAAGAAAAAAGAAGTTAGATGAAGATAAAACGAGTAAAAACAAATAGAACAAAATGAAATAATAAAATAAACAAAAAAGAAAAAAGGAAACGCACTGCATTTGGATGCAGCAGAGCAGAACAGCAACTTGAACAGCAGCAGCCGCAGCAGCAGCAGCACCGCAGCAGCAGCAAATGGGCAGCCCAGAGACAACGCGGGGGGACCAAAGCAGCAAATGAAACCCGCCTCCAGCAGCAAAACGTCCCTTCATGCAGCACACAAACCCTAAACCCTAAACCCTAAACCCTAAACCCTAAACCCTACACCCTATATACTATGATTATTATTTTCTTAATATATAAAAAACAAAGAAATGAAATATATTTCTTGCATTATTTACTCCGATTATATTTATTTGTTACTTTTTGCATTTATTCATGTGGCTTATTATATATTAAATATTTAATAAACTGCTCTCTATTATTAATGCATAACCAAAAATGTCTAACAATATAATATTTATGTCTGATAACATTTCGCCAACAAAATATCTTTCATCAATACTATGTTATTAATAAGATGTTTTCTATTAAATAATATATTATTTATAAGATGTTTTCCACTAAATAATACGTTATTAATAAGATGTTTTCTATTAAACAATATGCTATTAATAAGGTGTTTTCTTTGAAATAATATATTATTTATAAGATTCCTTTTATTAGTAGTATATTATTTATAAAACGTCCCTTTATTAATAATATATTATTAAAAAGATGCCCTTTTTTAGCAATATATTATTTATAAGATGCCTTTTACTGTTAATATATTATTGCAGCAACACTTTTTAAAATGCACTTTACTAATAATCCTTTATTATTAAAAAAATATAAATAATTTACTACAAAATGAATTTTATTTGACAAATAAAATGAAGTTCACTTGACAGACAATTTATAGAAAGACATTTAAAAAATCCTTTTTATAAAATATCTTTTCAAGTAATTCCATTTTATTGTTTGCAAAGTACAAAATGGAATAAATGTGTTTCACAGAGGACTTATAAAAATAAGAAATGGAATTATTTAAAAAGATATTTTATAGAAGGGATTTTTAAAAATAATAAAATGGAATTATAAAAAGGACTTTTTTGAAATTAGAAAAATGAAAAAAGTAGAAATATATTTCACATGGATATCTTCAAAGGTATAAAATCGAATAAATTGGAAATACTTTTCAGAAAGAATGTAATAAAAAAATAAAATGCAATTATTTAAAAAGATATTTCATGGAGGACTTTTATAAAATAATAAAGTGGAGTAATTAAAAAGATATCTGATGAAAAGGACTTGTAAATAGCAACGTGGAATTATAAAAAGAAATTCTTTGATATTAGACAACTAATAAATTAGAAATATATTTCACAGAGGAGTTTTACAAAAACATATTTAAAAATATATTTCGTAAAGGACTTATAAAAGTGATAAAATGGAATTACAAAAAAGACTTTTTGAATTAAAAACAAATTTGGAAAAGTCTGGCGGACCACTGGAATGCGAGAAACTCTTTTGCAAAATATCGAAAAGAAAGATAAAGAAAGAACTGCAGCAAAAGTGCTGCTGACTGCCACAAAGCTTTGCTGCTGCTGGGCGGCAGCAGCAGCGACAGCAGCAAGTTGCAGCAGCTGCAGCAGCAGCCCAGCCACGCCACTTGGCTCAGCTGCAGCACAAAAGCAATTTAATTCGTCAAACAATTTAAATAATTAATTAACCAATTAAATTTAATGAATTAAATTTAATTGATTAATTAATTGAAAGAATTTAATTAAGTAATTCAAGAATCTAATTGATTAAAGAATTAATTAATTAACAACATGGATAGGACAAACGCCGCAAAAAGATAGGAAAAAGAGAAAAAACAGAAACGAAAAAGAAATGAAAAAGAAATTGAAAAGGAATTTAAAAGAAGTGAAAAAGAAATAAAAGAGTTGAAGAAAAATAAAGAGAATTGAAAAAGAAATCAAAAAGGAAAAAGAAACAAACAGAATTGAAAAAAATTAAAAAGAAAGAAAAGAAATAAAAAAGAATTCAAAAGGAAATAAAAAGAATGAAAAAGGAGAAGGAAATCTGGGGAGACAAAATGATACCCGAAGGAGATAAAAAAGAAACAAAAAAGAAACAGAAAAGAAACAAAAAGAATATTAAAATGAAACAAAAAAGGACAAAAAAGACAAAAAAAGAATCAAAAAGAATCAAAAAACAAACAGAAACGGAAAAAAGAAATGAAAAGAGATACAGGATGAAAAGGGGCAAAAGAAAAGACAAAAAAAGGAACAAAAAAGGGACAAAAAAGACAAAAAAGACAAAAAAAGGACAAAAATGAGACAAAAGAGGAGCAAAAAGGAGCCAAAAAGGGGGCAAAAAAGAACCAAAAAAGGGACAAGAGGAAACAAAAGAGAAACAAAAAAGAAACAAAATGAAAAAGGAGAAAAGGAGAATCAAAAAGAATCAAAAAAAGTCAAAAAAAGAATCCAAAAGAATAAAAAGAAAAACTCAAAATGCTGCTGACCTTGAAGCTGCTGCTCTTGCTGCAGATCTCCTTGGCCAGCCAACTGACACCCCACAAAACAAAACTGACGGGCACTGAAGCTGGCAGCTGCTGCAGCAGCAGCAGCTGCTGCAGCTGCTGCTCCAGCGCCAGCAGCCCCACACGAGGCCCCAACAAGCCGTCCGCCTGCCCGCATTCCAGCAGCAGCAGCAGCAGCAGCAGCAGCGGGGATGTCCCGAAGTGTTCAGCAGCAGCAGCAGCAGCAGCAGCGGACGTGTCTCGCCATGTTCAACAGCAGCAGCAGCAGCAGCAGCAGCAGCGGACGTGTCTCGCCATGTTCAGCAGCAGCAGCAGCAGCAGAGTTATCTGGCCATGTTACGCAGCAGCAGCAGCAGAGATATCTAGCCATGTTAAGCAGCAGCAGCAGCAACAGCGCAGAGGGAAACAAGACAGCTCCAGTACCAGCAGCAGCAACGCAATCAGCAGCAGCAGCAGCAACATATTCGGCAGCAGCAGCAGCAGCAGCAATATATTCGGCAGCAGCAGCAGCAGCAACAACAATATATTCGGCAGCAGCAGCAGCAGCAGCAGCAGCAGACCTGGAGGGCCAAAGAGCGGAAGGCGAGTACGTACACCCCGTTGACTGCCAGCAGCACCAACTGCAGCGTGGCGAAGTGGGGGGGCCCCCGCTGCAGCAGCAAGTAGCTGCTGCATGCATGCAGCAGCAGCAGCAGATAGGAGATGCACAGACACATCCACGACGGCAGCCAGTATCCGCTGCTGCTGCTGCTGCTGCTGCTGCTGCTGCTGCTATTTGTTGGCCTTCTGCTGCTGCTGACCGAGACAGGCTCAGAGGCCTCCCCCTGCTGGGGAGCAGCACTGCCTCGGCGCCGCATCCCGTGGCCTGCTGTCAGCTGCTGTTGCCGTTGCTGCTGCTGCTGCTGTTGCTGCTGCTGCTGCTGCTGTGGCTTGTTCAAGAGGGGTGTATGGACACCCCAGCTGCTTCTAGTCCGCGCGCCAGTGCTGAGCCCAGAGGCCCCACAGGACGCATTTCCCGGAGAGTGCCTCCGAGCTGCTGCTACCTCAGCGCCGCCACAGCAGCAGCAGCAGCAGCAGCAGCAGCAGCAGCGGCGCTGCGCGTTTAGCCGGTGGTCCTTTCGCCTGCGCACACGAGGCGGCTGCTGCTGCTGTTGCCTTGAGAAGAGTTGCTGAGCGTTCTTATCTTAATAGGGCAAAGTAACGGGCAAAGACGTAGGACTGCATGCAGCAGCAGCAGCAGCTGAGGCAGCAGCAGCAGCAGCTGAAGCAGCAGTAGCAGGAAAAGCAGCAACGGCGACGTGGTGGGGCCCCAGGGTCGGTGGCAGCAAACCACCTCCATGGAAGCGCCAGCTGCTCTCTTTCTCTGTTTGTCTTCTGGTAAATTATGGATTATTTGCCATTAAAAATCCAACTCCCCTTAGTGGCAGCAGCAGCAGCAGCTGCAGCAGCAGCAGCAGCGCCAAGACAGGAGGTCACCTTTAGCAGCGAAGCTAACAGCGCTAGTCGATTTGTTCTTAATTTAACAGCAATCAAGTTAAACTGATTTAATATTTATAATCAATATGACGGAGACGCATTCAACCTTCCGTGCTGCTCTCCTATAGCAGCAGCAGCAGCAGCCGCAGCAGCAGCAGCAGCAGCAGTGTCTTGCTTCTTCGCAGCCTCAGATCGCCTCTCTGCAGCAGTTTGTTTGCATTTAGTCGCGAAATAAAGAATATTTATTCTTTATTAATATTTTTTGTTTTATTAATGAAAAAAAGAAATCATTTAATTGTATATACTTGTTCAAATGCCATCTTGGGTTGTTTAGATTCGCCACTTCATTTAACTTCGCTGCTGCTACTCTGCTGCAGGCAAGCGCGGCTAGCCGCTGCAGCTAGCTAACGAGCAGCTAGCTTTGGGAAGCCTTCGCAGCTAGCCAGCTGCGGCGCTGCTGCTGCTGCTGCTGCTCCTGTAGCTGCTGCTGTAACTGTTGCTACAGCTGCTGCTGCAGCCACTTCGTGCTGCGGCAAAAACTGCAACGAGGAGATGCTGCAGCTAGCTACAGCTAGCCGCAGCTCGCTAAATGCAGCACGAGTATTTGTGGGGCCCTTCCTCAGCTCAATTGCCTTGTAAGGCTTGAGCCACAGTGCCTGTTGCTGCTTCCACTCTGTGCTGCTGCTGCAGCAGTTGCTGCTGCTGTGCGTCAGCAGCAACATTGTACGTGGCCAGTAGCTCTTGAAGCTTGTTCACTGCAGCAGCAGCCATCTTTGCAGCAGCAGCAGCTGCTGCTGCTGCTGAACAACCGGCGTTACGCACGTTGCTTGGTGCCTCCGGCAGCAGCAATATATCCGAATTTGCTGCTGCTGCCAGCAGCTGATAATGCTGGGCTGCAGCAGCAGCGGCCGCTGCACTGCAGCAGTAGCTCTTTTTGCTGCAGCACAGCCTCGAGGCGAGTAAAGCGCTTCGTATCTACCACTCTACTCCGTGTCGCGTTCGCTGCTGCTGCTGCTACTACAGCTGCTGCTGCTGCTGCTGCTGCTACTACTGCTGCTGCTGCTGCTGCTGCAGTGAGCTGTGGGGCAGCGAGGCCCAGGTGTACGTACAGCTGCCACGTGTTTGTGCCGCATTAAAATTTCATTCGGTTCTCGCATTTGCGTCTGTCACCTTGACAGTTTACTGCAGCTTTGCAGCAGCAGCAGCAGCGACGCGAGGCGTCGCCGGTGCTGCTGCTGCAGCAGCAGCCACACGCTGCTGCTGCTACTACTGCTGCTGCTGCTGCTGCTGCAGGCGAGACGCTGCTGACGACACACATTGGCTGCGACACCCGCAGCCGTAGCTCTTGTGTTGCTGCCCCCTCTCTCCTCCTGAGCTGGGGCTGTTAGTGCTATACAATGTGCGAGCTGCAGCAGCACGTTTGCTGCTGCTGCTGCTGCTGCTGCTGCTGCTTCGGCTGCAGCAAGGTCTCACCCTGAGACTCGCAGTAGGCCCCACCTGGCCTTCTTTGCATAGGCACCTTCGAAAGCAGCAGCAGCGCCGCTGCAGGGGTCTGCTGCTGCTGCTGTGCAGATCCACCACGGCGAATGGCAGCAGCAGCAGCAGCGGGAGGAGCTGCTGCTGCTGCTGCTGCTGCTCTTGCTGCGCCTACTCCAACCCATCCAGTACAAATCAGAGACTACACGGACCAGTCGACCTGCTTCTCAACAGCAGCAAACTGCTGCGTCTGCTGCCGGAAGAGGCGCAAATAAAGAATCGGTGCGCGGCCGCCAGTTGCGGTGTATGGACACCTGAAAGTTGCTGTTGCTGCTGCTGCTGCTGCTGCTGCTGCGGGCTCCCGCAGCTCGAACAGCAACGCAAGAGGAACAAACATTGTACACTTGCGAGAAGACGACGAGAGACATATTTGAACCAGCGTTTTCAAACCGTAATTGCTGCTGCTGCTGCTGCTGCCACCGCCGCTGCTGCTGCTGCTAGAAAGAAGGGGAAGCTGGAGAGCTGCGCTGCAGCGGGACGCGGTGTCTGTACACCTGCCGGCAACGGTGCGGCCATTGCTGCTGCAGCGCCGCAGCAGCAACTTGTGCTGTAGTTCAGTGAATAGCATGGGACGCAAAGTGCAGTTTGGACTCGGCAGCAGCAGCAGCAGCAGCTGCTGCTGCTGCTGCTGCTCCGCCGGCCTCGGGCGGCGCAGCGGCCTCGTCCGCGCCCACGGGGCTGTCCGCTGCAGCAGCAGCAGCAGCAGCAGCAGCGCCTGCTGCCTGCTGCAGAGCTGCGTTGTTGCTGCAGGGGCTGGAGCTGAGGGGGCTGGTCTCGCTGGCGCCGAGGGAGAGGGAGTTGCAGGGGCTGCTGCTGCTGCTGCTGCTGCTGCGGCCGTTCCTGCTGCTGCTGCTGCCCGTGAGGCCGCAGACCGTGGAAGCCAAGGAGGCCGGCAGCACGGGGGCCCTCACCTGCCTGGCGGGGAGAGTGGGGTTGCTGCTGCTGCTGCTGCGGGAGAGGGAAGCGAGCCCGAGGACCGCAGCAGCGACGGCCCTTTGCTGCTGCTGCTGCTGCTGCTGCTGCTGCTTCTTCTTGCCCCGCAGCCGCTTCAACGGCGCCTCCCCCCCCCGGCTCTCCGCCAGCAGCCGGAACGTACTCAGGTGGTGTCTGTACACCTGCTTCGCATACTCTGCAACTATTGCGTCTCCTTCGGGGCCCCTGGGGGCCCCACATTTGTTGCAGCGGAAGCGGCGGGGGAAGTTGACGTTGCTGCAGCTTCTGCAGAGCCAGTTGCCGTTGCGGCCGCGCACGGGGTTTGCTGCTGCTGCTGCTGCTGCGCCCCCCTCCCCGGGGGGCCCCCAGGGGGCCCCCCCC